CTCAAACTCCCTACTTCTTGACTTGTGTGCACAGTGTAACTCCCAGCATCGTCCTCTCGACAGCGACAGCGAGCCAAATGTTCTCCGTCTTCTTCACTACTCTCTTATTGTTCCTAAACCCTTCTCACTTGTCAATTTGACTGCAAGCCGATCTCTTCGCGCACGCGACCGAAATCAAACAGCAATATCTCAGCCTGTTTCATATCCACTGTAACAAGCACAGCGTCACGGGGAAACCGAAGGTGATGTGCTTGCCGACCGTCTACTATCACTCCCATGTCTTTCACCCATGGCTGAAATGCTTAGGCGAAATGGTATCACTCGATCAGACCTCTCTATTCGTATCGATGGTTCTCTTTATAAAATGTCGACTACGGTCGTAAGATTTCTACAGAGCTCACGAGAAATTCTTACGCACTTACAATCACTAGAAGAAGTAAGGTTTATTCATGGTTTTCATAATGTATTCTCCTTTGCAGACTCCAAACCCGCCTTTGCATGGAAAACTTGCCAAGTGGGCTCCTACTGCTTCCGAAAAGGCACTAATGTAGTTATTGATCAGTGGGCTTTGCATCATAATCCTCAGATATGGGGAGATGATGTGGAGGAATTTCGTCCTGAGAGGTAGGTTTTTTTTCATTGGACAAGCAACCAAAAGAGTAAACGAAGAGCAACAACTTGATCTAAAAAATTTCTCGTTCTTTAGATTCGATTCTCTTACGAACGAACAGCTTCGTTCCTTCATGCCCTTTGGATCGGGTCCACGTCAATGTGTGGGCATGCGATTTGCACTAATGGAGATAAAACTTACACTATCGATGCTATTTTCCAAATATAGACTCCGACGAAAAATCCACAAAGAGGGGGTACGCCAAATTTTGAACATATTCGCTTTCTTTCTATTTGATTTTGAAATAACGTACAGGGTCATCCATGGCCCTAAACGCGCAAAAAGGGCGCAAAAAGCTTAAAGGAATCTTCTCGGAAGAATATGATTCTGTCTCACCCATAATCACTGGCTTGGGACCCATCGTTCACGATAAGAACGAAAAATTGCATTTGTTTTGGTAAAAATTCGAAAAACCGAAAGGGCTGCTACGCGTTCAAAGTACCGCCGGACATCTGTCACAAATGCTGGCGACGGGAATGCTTCCACTTGGTTCTTCCGGCTAGAAATTGACTGCTGAT